TCAGCCCTACCCCATCCCCTCCAGGGGGGCCTGCCTTTCCCTGACACTTTTGGGGTCTGCCTGGGGGAGGAGGGGAGAAAGCACCATGAGTGCTCACTAAAATAACTTTTTCCATTTTTAATAAAATGCCAAAAATATCACAACCCACCAAAAATAGATGCCTCTCCCCCTCCAGCCCTAGCCAAGCTGGTCCCAGGCCCTCCCTAGCACCCCACCCCCGACCTGCAGTGCTGCCCTCCTCCCGTCCCTGCCATGCCCACCCCTGCCCACCTCTCCAGCCTCTGCTCTGCAGCACACCCTTGGGTGACTCCTCACCCCAGAAGCAGCAGTGGCAGCTTGGGAAACGTGAGGAAGGGAAGGAGGGAGACACAGGAGGGAGGAGAGAGAAGACAGGCAAGGGAAGGGCAGCGGAACTAAGGCTACACCCTCTCCCCCATCCCTGTTACAGAAGCTTAGAGAGCCAGCCAGCAATGGAACCTTCTGGTTCCTGCGCCAATCACCACCAATCTGTGTGAGCTTGGGTGCGAGTGCTTGCGTGCGTGAGTAGGTAGAGTATATATAGATCTCTATCTCTTAGCAAAGGTGAATACCAGATGTAAATGTTGCCTCTGGGCAAAGGAGGCTTGTATTTTGCACATTTTATAAAAACTTGAGAGAGTGAGATTTCTGCTTGTATATTTCTAAAAAGAGAAAGGAGCCCAAACCCTCTCCTTGCCACTCCCATCCCTGTAAGCCGCGCCTTGCCCCTCTACCCCTAGCCAAGGAGTGTGAATTTATAGATCTAACTTTCATAGGCAAAACAAAAGCTTCCAACTGTTGTGTGTGTGTGAGTCTACTGTGTGGATGTGCGTGTGTGGTCCCCAGCCCCAGACTGGATTGGAAAAGTCCACGGTGGGGGCCTCAGGGCTGTCCCCATGCTGTCCCTTTGCCCACAAGTCTGGGGCAAGAGGCTGCAATACTCCGTCCTAGGTGTCTGGCCTGCTCACCTGGCCTGCTCAGTCTTCCCACCCTGTGCCCTGGGCTGGGCAGACCCCCCAGGAAGGGACCCCGGGCACAGCTTCCACCTCCAGGCTTAAGGCGGATATACTTCCTGCACCTCCAGTCTTCTGTGTAGCAGCTTTCACCCGCATATGTCTGTGTCACATCCAGTCCTGAGACAGCTGAGTGACCCTGAGAAAGGCTTCCCCCACACCCGGACAGAGGCTGGAGGGCTGGGGCTGGGTGAGGCTGGCAGGCCTGCAGGGACATTCTTACTGTGCTAAAAAGTCACTGCAAACATAGCAATAAAAACATGTCATTTTCCAAAGCGGGCTGCTGCTTCCGCCTCTGCTGCTCTAAGAAGGGGTTGGGGTGCAGGAGGTAGGGGAACCTCTTCCAGCTGGAGCTGCTGCAGAGGGCAAGGCTCTGCTCTGGAGGCCTCCGCAGCCGGGGTCGGCCCCCTTCTGGGGACTGGGAAGGCAGCAGCCCAGGGAAAGCCTCATCCCCTGGAGCGGAGGCACTTGGGGAGAACAGGACGAGAGTAAGCTGGAGAGCAGCGACACTGTCGGGGAAGCCATGGGTGCTGAAATTTTCAAATTGTTGCCCCAGGAATTTGTTACTGACCAGGTGGCCTTCCAAGATCTGAAGCAGGTGATGGGGCAGGCCAGGGCCAGGCAGGTAGCAGCGGAGGGGATAAGTCTTTGCAATAACTTATCCACAAGCCACGGCAATAACCCAGGGAAGAGGTGGTGTCACTTGGGCCAGGCAGGTGGCAGCGGAGGAGTAATTCCTGCATCAGGGATCAATTTGGAAGGTGCAGCCAATAGGGGCTGTGCACGACCAGGATGCAGGGCTGAAAGAGTTCAGGATGACAGATTTGGCCTGAGCAGGAGGACAGGTGGAGCAACAGGGAGGCAAGGAGAGAATCATCCAGAGTCGGCCTTGGGTGTGTCATGCACGAGTGACATCCAAGTGGAGATGTCTAGTTGGCAGGTGGACACAGGAGTTCCAAAAAAGCATTGGAACTGAAAGATGGAACTTTGCAAGTTCTTACCACACAGAGATGACACGGAAAGCCCTGAGCCTGGCAGAGCTCACAGGGAAGCTGCGCACCCCAGGACACGATGAGAGGAGTGAGGGAGGTGTGGCAGCGGGCAGGGAGGACACCCAAGAGTGCCTGGTCCAGGAGGGGCAGTGTCCGGCTCCCATCTGTCCAGCGCTGCTGCTGGTGAAGGACAGTGACCTGCAGAACACTCACTGGGTCTGACGAGGGTCACAGGGGCCTGGCAAGGGAGGCTTGCATGCTGGGGTGTGCAAAAGGCTGGTTGGTGTGGGATTGAGAAAAGGGGTGGCGGCAGCCCAGTGTCATCTGCAGATGAAGGAGAGATACAACGGAGTTCATCCAGACAAGGGAATACGAGCTGGCCTGGAAAAGGAAGGAACTCCAACACACAACAACATGGCTGACCCTGGAGGGCATCTGTGAAATGAGCCATCATAAAGGGACAAGTGCTATGGGGTGCCACTCCTGTGAGACAGAGGGCAAGGGTAGAGGCCAGGGGCTGGAGACGGGGTGAAGAGTGTTGAGTGGGGACAGAGTGGCAGTTTGAGAAAATAAATTCTAGAGGCAGATGGAAGTGGTGGCCGCATTTCATGCCACTGAATTCTACACTTAAGGATGGTGATGACGGCTCCTTACAGATACACTGATGACACTACATATACACTATATATACACACACGTTTTACCACGGTAAGAAGAGGCGGAGAAGAACTAGAGGCAGCCAGTACAGACAGGTCCTTCGAGGGGCAGGACCCGGGGCACAGGGTGAGCATGTGGTACCCCACCCGCAGGAAACACAGTGGGTGGCCCAGGCAGGCACAGGGATGGGAGCCTGTGAAGGGGGAGCAGGTGACCGCTCAGAGCAAAGTGACAGCTTGGGCTGCTCCCTCCACATCTTGCCCAGGACTGCTACTGTGCTATGGGAGAGGCCCTGCTTCTCAGCAGGCAGCACCCTCTATGGAGGGGCTTTACTCACACTTCTGGAGCCAGGGGAGGGACCTGGCTTGGAATATGGCCAACCAAGGAGAGGCCAGGTAAGAAATACACGGACCAGACAGGGAGCAGAGAAAGGAGTGGCAGTGCAGTCCCTTAGCCGGGGACTCTGGAGCCTGTCCTGTGGGCCCCACCCCCACCTCTTCAGCACGGCTGTTTCCAGTTTTCTTTCTCTCCCTGCGAAGCCTCTCCTCTCACCATGGCTACACCTTCCAGAACCCTGCCTGCTGGCAGCTCCCAGACGCCCAGCCTGGCCCTCCTTAGCTGCAAAGGCGCTTCCCAGCGTCCCTCACACAGCCCCTGCCCCCAACTGACTCCAACTGTCCTGCAGCCCACGGTCACCCTCAGGACCCCTGAGCTCACGCCAGCTGCTTCATACACTGTCAGCCAGGTCTCTGCCTTCAATTGTTCTCCACACCTCCAGGCCACCTCATGCACCGCAATGCTACCAAACATACAGAAAAGGGACATTGAAAAAAGCAAACTTCACAGAGGTGTGTCATCGAAACTGGGTCCCGAAACAGAGACACCATTTCCTCAGGAATTGGCTCCTGCAACAGAAGTTGGGACACAGAGATCAACAAGCAGCAGGCTCTGCCCTCAGGCAGCTAGCAGTCTAGTGGAAGATGGGTAAGAAGACAGATCAGGATGCCCACGACTGCAGACGCCCTGAGGAACATGCGACCCTGCAGGCAACCCTCCAGTCCAGGCTGGGCACATGCCTCAATTTCCAGCTCTAAGAGCCTGTACCCCTAATCCATTGTTGTTCCATCCCCCTACTAGAAAGGGCACTCCAGAAGCCAGCCTCGTGCAGAATGGAGGAAGAGGCTGTCAGGGCAGGTGAGGGCAGTACCCGTCTGGACTTTAGCCTTTCAAAGCTCAGAGAAGGGTGAGCTCAGGGAGGCCCAAGGTAGCCAAGAACACTTCCTGGAAAAGTGGGATCAGCCTTCGGCCTTGGCACAGCAACCAGAGGGCATGGCCCACGTGCCCCCTACTCCCCCAGACACCACCTCTGAGACTGCCTGGAAAGGGACAGAACTCGTCTGAGCACGGGGAAGGGTGATGGGAACCACCGGCCTGGACCCGGACAGGGCAGGCAAAAGCAAGCATGCACAGCGGGCCGTCAGCTACCCTGCCAGCATCAACATCCTTCAGGGGTCCCCCTACAGTTCCAAGAGACACACCTCTAACCTGCTCTAACCTGCTCCCTGCCCCCTCCACCCATTCCTCATGCAGACACCAGGCATGGCAGAGGTCCTGCAGGGGGAGCATGGGGCTGCGGGCAGGGGCCGCCTTCCTCATGCGCTGCTGGAGAGCAGCAGAGTGCAGGGCCTGGGCACTGGCGGCACGCAGGAAGCCCCATTCCTGGCTCGGCATGCCGTGGGCCTGGAAGACAGCTCCGAGGAGCCACCGGAGGGATGCCCTGGAGCCAGCGCAACACTGTGTGGCAGGCACACACCCAGCACGTTCGCAGGGCCAGAGCCCCGGCCCATTCCCAGCCCCTTTCTGCCTAGCTCTGCCCTGGGCAAGCTCCAGGTCACTGCCAAGGACAAGTCTCCTCTCCCGGCTGGCATTAGTCAGAGGTCATCCTGCAAACCTTCAGTGGGGGGTGGGGCAGGGAGTGACTAGTGGCATTCTGCCATGTTCTGTCTATCCCAAATGTGACGAAGAGAAACCCAGAGAAAGCAAGCAAGTCCTTTACCTGGAAGCCTTGCCGGTTTACTGAGCCTCCCAAGCTGCCCACACCCAGGGAGGCAGACAGGACACACACTCAGCGGGTGGCCCTGAAGCGGGGTCTGGTCCAGCCCAGGGAGCAGAAGGGCAGAGAGGCCAGGGCCTTCGAGACCAGGTGTGAACCCAGGCTTCAGTGGGGGAAACAGGTTGAAGGGCTATGGCTACTTGGGAGTTCTGGACAGGAGAGGAAGCAGAGGCCTCCCCCTGGCCGTAGTCACAAGCCGCACCACGCACACACCATAACCATTTTTATTGCCCTCGAGAGAAACTCCAGTCCACCTGCTTCACCCGCCCTCCTTCGGGACCAAAGAAAACACCCAGAGGGCAAAACAAAAAGGGCGTTCAAATCTACGGGAAGCCAGCCCCACCGCAAGCCAGACTGCAATTAACTCGTGCCCTCCACGCTCAAGCGTGGAAGCTAGGGCCGCCAGGCCTGGCCAGGCCAAGCGGGATGACAGCAAACGCATTCTGAACCTGTAGCAATCAGGTCCCCTGTGGTGTGCTGGGAGAGTGCGGACGGGGGCCAAGATGACGAGCTATGCGCTGTGGAAGGGAATGGGGGAAGCAGAAGAGCACGAACAGAAGTACCAGAGGGAGAGGCCCGGCTCTCAGGAAGCAGCAGGCACGTGCCAGGTGGAAGCCGGCTGCAGGCAGGGGAGGAGGGAGGCCCTTACTCCTCCTTCTTGTCCGTGGGACCATCTACTGCAGCCTGGAAAGGGACAGAAATCCCACAACAGTAGGTTGGCTGGGCCCACCCCTCCCCTGCCACCTGTAGCCCCGTGTCCCCCGAGGCCCAAGCTTGGTTCCTGTCTCCCCTAACGACAGATCTTCAAGTGAGCAAGGGGCCCCCTCCCCAGCTGTATCCGAAGACCTGCCAGGGTGGGAGAGTCAGCCATTGCCTACACTCTAGGGAGAGCCCCGGACCTAACGCCAGCCAGGGAGGACCGCCGGGACCTCACTGGCGGCCGAGTTCTGGCTGTGGGGAACAGCAAGGCCTGCCAGGCCCTTTCAAGACCTGATCGGGCCCTTCCCAACTCTGCGCACCTTTGACAGGTGCCCTCAAGGCCCAAGTCCCATCTGCAGAGCCTGCCCCATACAGACGGTATAGGTGCCCTCTTTGGGGCTGGATCCTTCCTCCCCACCTACTGTGGTGCCCAAACTTGGGCCGCCAAGCACCAAGGCCAGCTGTCCAAAGTTGGGCATATTTACATGGCCCTCACTCCCAACATCAAGACCACCGGAGCTTCCAGACGCAGCCTGCTGCACCCAAGCTAGTCTGAGGACTCGAACGAGGCCTGGGGCAGCAGGCAATGGTAACAGCTAGGGCCTGCTGGGGAAGGCGCCTTTTTGGCACCTTGTACCCTCACTTGCCCGGGGTGTTTGCCCCACGTCACACCCGTAGCGCTCTAGGAGAGAAAGCCAGCAGTGGGTCCCAGAGTTTCACCTGCTTCTGTTCTTCATGGGGCTGCAAACCATGGACTGAATCTGAGCCCGAAGGTAGGAAGGCTGAGAGCCTAGTGAGCCAGTGCCACTCCTGAGGGCCACCCCTCTCCTGCCCAGTGAAGGCTCCCACACAGCGGGGCAGAGGCGGCCAGTGGGAGTAGGGGAGAAGGCAGCCGGCCCCTAGGCCTCTGGAAGGCTCCCTCCCCACGGCAGGGGCTGCCCCATCCTGTTCTGCCCTGGACGCGGCAGCATGGGAGGGCTGACCTGCAGCTTGGCATGCTCCTCCAGCAGGCGGTCGTACTCCTTGGTGAGACCCTCAGACTGCTTCTGCATGGCCAGAGCCTGGTTTTCAGCTTTCTCTAGTTCTGGAAATGATGTGAATGACCAAGAAAACAGAAATGAAAAGGCTGGAATTAGGGGGGAAAACCCGATTGCTACAGGTACCAGAAACTAACCCAAATCTATCTCAAATGAGGCTATATAGGAGCCCACTTCTCAAATAAAGCCCCTCTTATTTTGCAGGCCCCAAAGTAGAGGGAAAGGGCTAACAAAAAAGCTACATAAAATCGAAGAAATACAGAGGATGTCCCCTACTCCCTTTAATGGAGGAAACTCTAGTGGCTCTCGGCCGGGGTCACCTTCAGGGAGGCTGAGAGCCAAAGGCAGGCAGCGAGATCCCAGCCTGAAAGCAAGACCCCAGATGACAACCGTGCCTTGCAGAGAGCAGCAGCAGCTGAGGCCTGTGGTGTTGGGGGAAAATGTCGCAGACTTAAGTCTACGCATGGGAGAGCAAAGACAGGCAGGCCACTTGGGAGCCGCCCATTCCCTTCCTGAACACCACTCCCACACTCCCCTTATTCTCAGCCCCCAGGCATGCTGAGGCTCCCGTGCCACACTCTGGACAGGGAAGTCCCAGTGTGCACTGCTCTAGCGCGGGGCGATCGAGGCCCTGCAGCTGCAGCCTGGTTCCTCCTAGGACCCGCTCAAACCACTTAGCCTCAACAGCCTGCAAGCTAAGTGTGGCCGCACTAGGGTGGGAGGCACAGGGTGCTGTTTGTTTTCAACCAGCCCTCAAGCATGTGTGCGTACGTGCGTGCGAGGCTTGTTACTAATACTCTGGCATCAGACAGACAGCAGCAGGCAGAGGAGCCTCCTCTGGACCTCCCTGAAGGGGAGGACACGGGGTTGAGCCTCACTTTGCTTAGTGCTGGCCAGCTCGTCCTTTAGCTTCTGCAGGTCAGCCTTCAGGCTCCTGTTCTCTTCCTCCAACTTCACCTCAGCATTCCCGATATCCAACTTGCCTCCATCAACAGCAGCTCCCTGGGAAAAGTGCCAAAGGCCAGGGTTACTGAGGGAAGGAGGGAGGGAGGGGCTCCGGCCCCATCCTCCCTACAGAGCGGCAGTTCCTCAAGCTGCCCTGGACACTTGCCCCTTCGGAAATGTCAGCGCGGAACCGAGCCACCACTTGCTCCCAGCTCCTAGGCAAAGGCCAGGGCGTGGCTGCACGCCGAGGGAAAGAGAAGTGCCAGCAGGGCCACCTGCTGCAGCTCGCCAGGCACGCCTTGCCTGCCCTGGCCCTTGGCCCTGCCTCCTTCCTGAGCAGCAGGGCTCAGCGGCTCCATGGCACTCACCAATCCCTCAGCGGATGGTGGTGCCTTCTGCGCCCCGTGCGGTGCTGCCTGCTGCAGCCAGGAGCCCCAGTCTGCCCGGCCAGCTCTATCCCACCTCTGCATCACATCCCTCCGCGCTTAGCTCGCAGCTCACCTCCCAACTAGAGGCCTAGGACTGACCAACCACCCTGCCCCCACCTTCTCTCCAGCACTGGTGGATGCCACAGACCCCGAGTTCCAGACAGGGTGCAGCAATCTGCCAGAAAACCAGGGCCTAGCTGATGGCCTTCGGTTCACAGTGCAGGCCCTGGCTCACTGAGGGGTCGTTTTTCTCTGGGAAGGGTTTGACTGGAAGCAGTGGATGGAAACGAGAGCAGCAGCACCCTCTTCCTCACCAAGCCCTCGCAAGCTAAAGGCATCGCAGTTGCCCAGATCCTCCCACACGGACGCCTCCAGCAGGCACACCCTCCCCACTGAGGACTGTCCCTCTGCGGCTCCACCCAAGTCTGGCTTTTCAAGCAGTAGGAGTTTCACACATTTCCCAGCCTGATAGGCTACCAGTGGCCACTGAGGCCTTAAGAAGATGGCTCCCACGGTGTGGCACCAGGATGCCCCGTGGTGGGTCGGGAAGGGGCTCACCTTCTTGAGCTGGTCATTCTCTTCCATGTACTTCTTGGCTGCCTCACTAGCGCTCTCCGCCTGCTTTTTAAAGGCTTCATTGGAGGCCAGCAGTGTGGCCTGCTGTGAGATGAGAGTCACCAGGCGTCTAAGCAGGCTGCAATTATTTACAAAAAGAAGGGAGAAGTGAGGAAAGGAGCATGAAGGGCTGGCAGGAGCGCCTCCTGGTTGCTCCCACCCCACACCTGGCTCCCGCCTGGGCCTGCCCTCCTGCCAGGGCAGCTGAGCAAGAAGCCGCCAACCTGGCGCTGGCAGTGTGAGGGAAAAGGTGGGGCCCGGAGCTGTCCTCTGCCACTGTGCCCAACAACCACCCTCTGCTCTGGGGGATGGCTCAGGGAGGGGCTGGAAGCAGAGGTCTGGGGAGCTGGGAAGAGCCTCACTACAGCATGAGGTCCCAGAACGTGGCACTTTCTCAATCAGGGCCTAGACATGCCAGACAAGCCACAGCACCACCTTCCTCCCTGCGAGGCCGGGCTTGCCTCAGTAAGGTAACGAGAGCAGCTCATCAATGCAGGCACTTCCAACATGCCGGCCGCATTCTCACGTCTACCTGACCAGGAACTTACTATTGCTGCCCCAGCTTATAGAGGAGGAAGCTGAGATTCAGCAGCGTCAATCAATGTACCAGAAATGGACGTGGCTGGAATTCCAACTTACGTCTGCCTGACTCCAGAACCTGAGCTCAAAGCCACTATATTCTCTAAACTAACAGGGAACAGCTCCCAGGTCCCGACATAAGACAGAACTCTCTTTTCTGGCCAACCTCCTTCCCAACCCGTCATGCAGGCTGCACCGGAACATATCCGTTATGTAACAGCGCCCCAAATGAGGTCTTCTTGGGCTGGAGGGTGTAGAGGAATCAGGACACAGGCACACACTGCCTATCTGAAGCAGCCAGGAGAGACAGGCAAACAGGTGGCACCTGGAGGCAGATGCTGGTCCCCAATCAGAGGGAATGACCACTTCATTTCCCTTGGTTCACCCTTGCCCTGAAATGTTAGCCGGCAGGAAGAGAGGAGGGAAGGACTTGGTCAAACAGTCAAAACAAGACAGGGGTACCTTTGCCAAACACCTCAAAAGGCAAGGCACACACAGGGCCTGGGGGAAGGAGGAGACAAATCTGCTTGGTTCAGGGTGCTTCAACAACAAACCGCTTGCTCAGAAGAGCCGAAGTGGCCTCCTTGGCCAGCCAGGCCTTCAAAGCCTCTGCTCACAGCCAGGGGCAGCCTGGAAGGGCTGGAGAAAGCAGAGAGCAGACCAGGTGAGCTACCTCCCTGGCCCACGGCATGGCTGTCCAGGGCCTCGGCAGAGCCCCTTTCCAGAAGGACTCAGGATAGAAAGGACCCACCCGGGCCAGGAGATACCCGAAGTTCCTAGTTTAGGGAGAGGCTCCCTGGGGCCCCTGGCAGCACTAGGAGAGCCAGGCCATCGATTCCTGGCAGAGGAGGAGAGTTTCCAGTGACATGTGCTTTCTAAAATTAGCAGCCCAGGACCTCGTGGCCTAGGGCTCAGGTTTCCCTGCCTCAGCCCCCAGCTGCCCACCAGCCTGCCCCCAATTGGGCTGGAGCCTGAAGGTGGAGGAAGCTACTGAGCGCCCAGAGAGAAACAACACGACTGACTCACATCAGCATGGCCAGAAGTCACTGGGGAGGCCTAGAAAGAAAGGCAAGTCTGACTAAGACCCAGCCCCCCAGCAAGGAGCTGCCCAAACCCAGACCAGACGGCGATGACCTAGAAAGAGGAAGAGGACCGTTCCTCCCAGCTGGAATTGTGGGGTGGGGTTCATGCCACCTGGTGGTAGAGACAGGACTGAGGGACTGAAGGCTATACTCCCCGCCACCAGGCCAGCCAAGTGGCTGCTGGTGAGTGCCCATGGCTGTCACCCCAGTCCCCAGGGAGATCGCTAACACAAATGCTTCCTCGGCAGGGCGGCAGATGCCCAGCTCTCCTATGACCGTCCCAGGCTTTTCCCGGCTATCGAGAACCAGGGCTTCCAAGACAGGCCACGGCACACACAGTCTAGTGCAAGATCCATGCCGTGTCTCCCCAAAAGCCTGGCCCCGCTCAGCCCCAGCCCAGGCCTTTGGTTCCCAGCCTTGGGACAGTCTGGGGCTCCCCGCTGCCAGGCTCTGGTTCCCCTTCCTCTCGCCAGCCCTCACAAGCGCTCCCCACCCCACAATGCCCTGGGCATACTCCTCCCACTGCCCCCCTGCTAGGTCCTCTCTCTTCCTGCTGGATGACCTGGGATCATTCCCCCCGCCCAGGAACCTCGCCTTCAACTGTGTCCTTCCTGGAGTCACCCTGCCCAAGTCCCTGGTCTTTTCCCTTGCATACATTCCTCAACCTAGGCCAGCCAAGGCCTGCCCTTCCAAGCTAGCAGCAGGGCCACCAGTGGCCTCCTAACCGCCCAGTCCAGCGGCCACCCTGATGTCCTTGCTCTGCTGTTAAGTTACCCTCCTGAGGTCCTCCTTGCAACACCCCCTCCTGCTATCATTCTGCTCCCTCTGAGTTCTGTACTCTTCAGCTGATAGCCTATACTTTCTCCTAGCCACTCCTATCCCTGAAAGGGTTTTCTCTGAGGCCCAGACTCATACCTAACCCCTTGCTAAACGTTGGCTCCTGGATGTCCCCAGAGACATTCCAGACTCAGTTTGTCCAAAACAGGCCTTCCCTTGCCCCACCTGACCTGACCACCTTGTGCAGCCCCTGCTGTAGTGGTGGGCATGCAAACCGCCTTAGACTCAGCCCTCTTGGGCCCCTAGCCCAAGCCACAACCAGTGCTTTCCATGTCAGCTGCAAACGTGCCTGCCTTCATCCCCACTGCCAACACGTCCTCCCTATCTGCAGCCATTAGGCTTCCCCAGCCACCTCCCTGAGCCAGGCAAATCCGACCACGTCAGCCCTCTGCTTGAGGCACCTGCCTCCGGTACGCAGGCCCTCAGCGAGCTCTCCTCCCTCACTAACCACGTGGCACCCTGCTCTAGTAACACCTAACCCTTCGCCATTCCTGGAACACGCCTGGCTCTACGTGGTAGTCCTCCAGGTCGGAATGTCCTCTCTACCCAGCTCGATCCTCACCTCCCCCAAGAAACCCTTTCGGCTCTCCTGCCCCATCAGAGGGACGCAGTCTCCTGCAGCAGCCCCCTAGGCACCCACACGAAACCACCTCATTCTCTGTTCTCTGCGTGGCTGCCATCCATTTATATGGCTGCCCTACCAGGCTATGAATATCTTTAGGCTGGGCGCTGTGCCTTCATCTCTGCACCCCCATACCTGGCACACTGAAAAGGGGTCTTCTGCCCACTCCACAAAGCATAGCTGAAAAAAGGGGAGCAGGCTTCCAGATGACCCAATCCTACTCCCAGGAGAGGAAGTCCTCCCTGACAGGTAAGAGGATGGGTTTGAGGCTGCACGTCAGGCTAGACAGAATCTCCCTGGGCTTAGACTGCACCTGTGTCCACCTGGGAGCCTGGCACCAAGAGGGGAAGAGGCAGACACACAGCTGGTCAGTCTAGCAACAGAGGAAACAGAAGACAGGAGTGGGAAGGCGACGTCTCAGACCCATGCTGATGAGCAAGCCAGGCTCCGGAATACCGGGGGGAAAGCATTCACTGCCTCGAGCTGAAGGCGTATCCCAGAGCTACGACATCCTAGTGCCTCCAATCCCCTCAGGACCCCAGCAATGCAGACCAGGCTTTCCCTCATCACTGGGATTTTTCAGCCTGGAAGCCAGCCTTCTAGAACATTTTCCTGCTCCCTCACACTGGGCCACTCAGGAACATTAAGATGCCCTTCTGGGCCGGGCGCGGTGGCTCAAGCCCGTAATCCCAGCACTTTGGGAGGCCGAGGCGGGTGGATCACGAGGTCAAGAGATCGAGACCATCCTGGTCAACATGGTGAAACCCCGTCTCTACTAAAAATACAAAAAAGTAGCTGGGCATGGTGGCGCGTGCCTGTAATCCCAGCTACTCAGGAGGCTGAGGCAGGAGAATTGCCCGAACCCAGGAGGTGGAGGTTGCGGTGAGCCGAGATCGCGCCATTGCACTCCAGCCTGGGTAACAAGAGCGAAACTGTCTGGAAAAAAAAAAAAAAAAAAAAAAAAAAGATGCCCTTCTGTTTGTCCCTTCTGTAGTTTCCCAGACCCCCAGGACAGGGCACAGAACAGCCTCTGCTGGATCTCCTGAGTCATGTTACCCGAATCACTGTTCTTAGCTATTAATTTCCGGAAAACAAGCAAGAGCCTAAGAGCCAAAGGTATCACCTACAGATACAGGGTGGTCACCAAGAGAATGGCCTGGGGTCCAAGCAAAGGCCAGTGAACACAACTTAACAGAATCCAGATGTAGCCTTGGCAGACACATGGCAGCCCCAAATGCCTCAATCTGACTGCGCTCTCTTGACAGTGTTCTTGGACACTGAGCAGGGCTATCATGCTTTTATAAAAGGTTGAGTAAACCAGAGAAGGCAGGAGAAACAGAACCTCTCCACAGACTCAAGAGAAACAGGGCCAACCATATCAAATGGGGAGAGCCATGGCTCATAAGCACTCTTCAGCAGCCCTGTCTTCCCCCCTGAACAAGGGGAGGAGGACATGGGCTTCACGGGAATGGGGGGGGAACAAATCCCAACCAAAAGGTTCCATGCTGTGGCCGCCCCCAGGCTGCCCTGCTGACGGGTTTCAGGTGAGTCGAGTCCTTCAACCCCCAGCCCCTGCACACACAGGGTGTTCACACAAGCTCACTCCTCTGCCCCCAGCCGGCAGGAAGCTGGTGTCCCAGCGCCACCTGCTGACTCTCCAGGCCTACCACAGGGTGGCCAATGGACTCTGGGTGAACACGCCCCAGCTGTGGAAGAAAAAATGAGGCAGCGCCCAAGCAAGGATCCAAGTCAGGTGACGCCTCAGGAAGGCTTTGGTGAAGGAGAATGATTAACACCAGGGCTTCTACTGTCCTGAGCGAGTCTCACCTGCCAGTCTGGAATCAGGAAGACAGGTTACAACTGGGAAGTCACCTACTGCAGACCCGAGAAGGCCACCCCAAAGGACTGTCCCAAGTCCACTCTAGTACAGCTGATCGGCATTCCCTGTAGCCTCCCAGC